CATTGTTTGCAAGCGTACGAGTAATATTATTAAGTCCAAAACTACATCGTTCACATCTACAATTACACAGAAAATATATCAAATAAAACACTTTATCCATTGTAATACCAAAAACGTGATTTATCTTCTGGAATGTCCATGTGGACTACAATATGTTGGCATGACCACTAGAAATTTAAAAACAAGATTAGCCGAACACTGTAGGAATATTTTAAAAGGCTATGAGAATCATTCTGTCTCAAAACATTTCTTACAACACGAAAAGAACCCAAAATATCTTAAGTGTTTAGGCATAGACATATGTAATGTCCCATGGAGAGGCGGTGACATTAAAAAAGTTCTTGGCAAAAGAGAAATGGAATGGACATATAATTTGAAAACCCTTGCCCCAAAAGGTCTGAATATTGATTTTGATCTTTTAAATTTTTTATAATTTTATATATATATATATATATATTTTTTTTTTTATTTTTTTTTTTAATACTGTTTTAGGTCCTTTTTTTATATATTTTTAATAATCTCTCATAATCTTACCTCTCTCCATATCTTAATATTAACTTCTTTTATGTACATATCCCTTTTTTTACACAATTTATTTTAACATATTTGTATGTGTTGTTCTCTGTGGGAAGGCTGTTGCACAACTGTATGTATATTTTGTATGAATACTGCCTTATAAGATTAGAACTTTATACTATTATATATTTTTTATTTGTCCATATTTGGTTTTGATCCCATAGTTTGGCTCATGCCTGCTGCCTGTCTGCCTGAGTGGACGGTCAGTGTGTGTTATGTGCCACTATGAAGGCTATCTGCTTGCTGTTATCAGCAGATAGCCTTCTCTCTGCTCGATTAAACTCTTCCTCGAGCATCTGGGAGAATTCACCTCCCCTTCTATGACGCATGCGTTCCACACAAACGGAACGCATGCGTTCCACCTAACATCATGTGACGCGGAAGTGTCTAGAGATCGCGCGTCACGTGATTGTTTTCAATATGTTATTTTTAGTGATAAAAACCTTCGTTTTTTTAATTAAAGTACTATATCCACCTCACATTCACCATATCTACATATATGTATGGAAAATCACTGTTTTTTTGTCTGTACTATTTTGGATGCTCTGATGATGTCATTTTGGTGGGAATTTTAAACCCATAACCCTATTGTATCCTATATAAACCTTGTATGTCAGGTGTGTCCCCCCTTTTTTCACTTTTATCTACTTGAAGAAGCCCTTGTGGCGAAACGCGTCTAGATATTATTTTATTACGTTACAATAAATAATTTTTTGGCATAAAAGACTTTATTGCCATTTTTTCTTGCTTGTCTTTCACCTGACTACCTATATTGCCTAATTTCAGAAGAAGCTTAAAGAATCCATAGGTGGGGATTATACCACCCAAGCGCTTATAGTGAGCAGTATATACCTGCTCAAAAGAATGTGAGTAATATTCATTTTACCATTTTAATATTTTACTGTAACACAGAGAGCACTATATATTTTATTTTTCTTCTTCTGGGTCTGTACTTTGGATGTTGAACGTGTACCAGAGAATCGCCATTTGAAGTCTACTCCATATATCCTTGAGTGGGGATTATTCCACTTCACGTGCTTAACATCAGAGCTGGATCCTCAGCTCTGAAAATTGTGAGTAAGACCTATCTTATTATCTCATTTTCAACGTATATACATACTGTACCATTGGAGTCCTGTTTCTTCTTTTCTCCACATATGCTTCACTGAATCCTATATGAAGATTTGACCATACTCCACACCCTAAAGAATCTTCTTTTATCTTTACGTGGGACTACTCATCATGAACTTTGATAAGTTTTGGACGATTGTCAACCATTTTTTTATATTATATTTTACACATTGTTTTATTACGTATTTTATTTCATATATTTTAGTATACTTCTTAGGCGCATCCTTACTGTACTGTTTGTTTTGTGTTCTTCCAATCATTGGGGAATTGTAGGGGATTCCCTTTTGAGGAGTGCAGCCTTCATATATTGTGGCTATTTAGCGCTGATTTTTTTTCTGTTTTTCCCATGCCTACTAATGGCATGGCTGTGATTGTCCAGTGCAGCATGTGACCCAGCCTCTATATGTAAGCTGGAGTCACGTAGCGCCGCACGCACATGCGGTCTTATTAGTGTAGGGAGAGAATGCTGCCGCTGATAGGGACAGCTTAGGAAAGAATTCTGCAAACTAGTACATTAGTGGGGTGGGGTGCACTTCATATCTGAGAGTCAAATAGAAGCTTCAAATACCGCGGTTACATCGGAGTTTTAAAAAGTTATTTTTTTTGGTGCTAAATAGTACATTAGTGGGGTGGTACATTAGTAGGATGGTACATTAGTGGGGTGCACTTCATATCTGAGAGTCAAATAGAATCGTCAAATACTGCTGTTACATTGCAGTTTTAAAACGTAAACATTTTTGGGTGCTAAAAAGTATTTTAGTGGGGTGCACTTCATATCTGAAAGTCACATCGAAGCGTCTAATAGTGTGCTTACAGCGCAGTGGTAAACATTCTTATTTTCTGGATGCTAATCTGCTAAATAGTACATTTTGGGGCCTGTTCTTCATATCTGAGAATCAAATCGAAGCGTCTAATAGTGTGCTTTCTGCGCACTTGTAAACATTCTAATTGTTTTGCTGCTAATCTGCTAAATAGAAAATTTTGGGGCCTGTTCTTCATATTTGAGAGTCAAATCAAAGCGTCTAATAGCGTGCTTTCTGCACACTTGTAAACATTCTAATTGTACTTTGCTGCTAATCTGCTAAATAGTAAAAAAAAAATTTATAAATCTCTTTTTATTGAAAATTAGAGAGTTTTCAAATGTTTTACAACACTTCAATTAAGGAGATAATCAACAATACGTGGGTTATAACAATTGGTCACATGAGATGAGCAGATCTCGGAAATAACAATATAGGATGTGGGTGAGACACGCAGGTCTCTATGTACCCTGGATAGCAAACCGATAACATGGAAACATGTGAACTTTTTGTGTAGATAAAGAGGTCGTGTGGGTCTCACTGTTGACCAGGTCAATTTAGGTGTGTTCTGTATGATGCCATCTGTCTGGTGCTGCGGACCGATTTTGGTGTTCGAGTGGTGTGGTCATGTACATATGAGCCTAGTGCTCTGCCCTGTATTGGTGTACTTGTCTTTGTTGTGAGGTCGATGCTATGTCAACTGCACCTTTGCCTATTTGCTGTGTATGGTTGTATTTTGTTTTTGGTATGGTGTGTCGGTCGATTAGTGTCAATGTCGGTCGCGGTTTGGGCGATTGTTGCCTATTAGTCATGCACATATGTCGAGGTTTCTGGGGTCGGGCCGTCAGGACGACCGGTGGGGGGGGGAGGAGAGGGGCGTCTGTTCTTCATATCTGAGAGACAAATAGAAGCGTCTAATACTGCGGTTACAGCGCAATTGTAAACATTTTAATTGTTTTGCTGCTAATCTGCTAAATAGTAAATTTTGGGGCCTGTTCTTCATAACTGAGAGTCAAATCGAAGCGTCTAACAGTGTGCTTTCTGCGCACTTGTAAACATTCTAATTCTTTTGCTGCTAATCTGCTAAATAGTACATTTTGGGGCCTGTTCTTCATATCTGAGAGTCAAATCGAAGCGTCTACTAGTGTGCTTTCTGCGCACTTGTAAACATTCTAATTGTTTTGCTGCTAATCTGCTAAATGGTACATTTTGGGGCCTGTTCTTCATATCTGAAAGTCAAATAGAAACGTCTAATACTGCGGTTACAGCGCAATTGTAAACATTCTAATTGTTTTCGTGCTAAATAGTACATTTTGGGGCCTGTTCTTCATATCTGAGAGTCAAATAGAAGCGTCTAATAGTGTGCTTTCTGCGCACTTTTAAACATTCTAATTGTTTTGCTGCTAAACTGCTGCTTACATTGGAGTTTTAAAAAATTTTTTTTTTTGGGGGGGGCGCTAAATAGTATATTTGGGGTGTTAACTTCATATCTGAGAGTCAAATCGAAGCGTAACTTTGATTCGAATTTACTACATCGGTCACTTGTAATATTGTTTCAAACCTACAACACTTGTTACACAGATCTAAGTGATACAAAACAGATTGATATTTTCTACACTAGAAACTACCAGATAACAAGCTGCTATATTTAAACCAGTGATCAATAGCTTAGAGGTACTTCAACAATATTGTAATTCTGGGGCAATACCCTCACAAGTCAAACTGAGAGGTATGTTTATAGGGAAAACTGTTGCCTGGATACAATTCTAAAACAATTTCCATATGTCCTTTGCAGACTTTACATGCTGGAAAAACACAGGTGCCAACTGCTGTGGCTTTCTGCAGTGTGCATACCGGCAAGGAGGGCAGGGTTGAGGAGTGGGTGGAAGATGATGTGGAGGATGATGAGGTCCTAGACCCCACATGGAATCAAGGTCATGCGAGTACGTGTGCAGTTTGGAGGAAGAGGCGCTGTGGTCCAAAGGCACCAGCACAGCATAAGAGGGAGCAGGGTACAAAAGTGAAGCGGCCGTCCCCTAGCGCTCGTCGGCATGTATTAGTTCAAGAATTACCAGTTATGCAAGTAATACATGTAGCGATCAAAGGATCCATAATAGATTTGAGTGAACCCGAACTACAAAGTTCGGGTTCGTACCAGAGTTAACGATCCATTAATGGTTTCACAGTGAGGTGGGCAGTCCGGTGACCAGGACCCACACACTGTCAGGATGTGACATTCACTGTAGCGGCTGTGCACGCTTTTGGCATTGTCACCCTGCTGCTGCTCGCCTGTCTGCACTGCAGCATAACTTCGACCTTCCCGCTCAATGCCTCGTGAGACTTTGCGAGCAGCAGCAGGCGATAGTGGAGTTTCAGCCGCACGGATCAGAGGCTCTGCACCAGACTTCCCTCCAATTGATCAGAGTTAAAAGAGTTCAGGTGGACTCATTACAATTACAGGGCCTCTAAAGACTCCTGTATTGTTATTTGTCGTCACTACCTTCCCGCGTCAGGAGTGGGTCATTTGCGCGCCTGCTGCCTTCTTTGCATGGGGTAGCCATTTCTCAGGGTCCCTGTACGGAATGGAAGCCTGATTCCCCGTTACCCGTGGTCACCATGGTAGGCGCAGAAACTAGCATCGAAAGTTGATATTGATGACATCCGCATGCAAAGTCGCCGCCACAGGGATGTGCGATTTGCCCGAGGTTCTCTAGAGTCAACAAAGTTCCTGCGCAACTATAATGTCAACAGCTACTCTGCGGAACAGAGTTGTCTTTTTTTATATGTCCCAATATTTTGGGGGCTACCCCAATTAAAATATATAAAACCAGTGTTGGCTACCTCATTCTCCTCCTCCACCGCTGCTTCCTCCTCCACCCCCTCGTCACGCCTCCTCAATCTATGGGTCACTTAGTATAAACTAGGTACACATTAGTAGAGGCTTGTGAAGGCCTTTTCTCCATGCATCAGGAGTTGAGCATTTCTCCAAGCATCAGGACTGCAAGATATGCACTGCAGGCTGCAAATGTTTCTTTATTTGTATGTCCCAATATTTTGTGGGCTACCACAATTAAAAAACAAACAAACATAAAATACAGTGTTGGCCACCTCATCCTCCTCCTCCACCGCTGCTTCCTCCTCCACCGCCACGGTCACCACCTCCTCAACCTATGGGTCACTTAGTATAAACTAGGTACACAATAGCAGAGGCTTGTGAAGGACTTTTCTCCATGCATCAGGAGTTGAGCATTTCTCCATGCATCAGGACTGCAAGAAATGCACCGCAGGCCACAAGTGTTTCTTTATTTGTATGTCCCAATATTTTGTGGGCTACCACAATTAAAAAAAAACAGAAAATACTGTTTTGGATACCTCATCCTCCTCCTCCAATGCCACATTTGTTTGCAGGGCACTTGTCCTACTCTTATCCCCATGTTACTTCCTTTTGCAGCTCTCTAGCCCTTTCCAGGAGTTTTTTAGAGGCATTTTTGTGGCCAAAAGTTTGGGTCCCCATTGACTTCAATGGGGTTCGGGGTCAAGTTCAAGGCCGAACCCTCTGGACCCGAACATCCAGGTGTCCGCTCAACTCTACCCACTGTTTTATTCTTGATTCAAAGTATCTCAGAATGATGTCACCGATGTGCCCTTCTCCCACAAGCTAGATCAGTTTGTATTTAAGTGAATGTGTTTAGATATGTGTTTGCATGTGTCTGTATGTATATGTTTTTGCCTGTGTCTGTCTATATGTATATGTGTGTGGTTATGTTAGTCAATATTTGCATATTAGTGTCTGTTTGTATGTATGTGAATGTATATATAGGTGATTGTTGCTGTATGTATGTACATAGGTATATTTGTATGTATGAATGCATGTCTTTGTATGTAAGTGATTGTCTAATTGTGTGTGTGTCATTATGTGAATGTGTGAGAATGTGCTTTCTAGTTTTGTGTTTTTTATCCTCATAGTTCAAGGATATAGATGTCATAAGGGACAACAATCGCTGAGTTTCATGAGCTAAAAAGGTGGAGTTTGGGTTTGTCCGCTGACGGATGTTCTAGTAGGTCGACCTCTCCGAATTCCAGAGAGCAGGAACAGGAACAAGCTCTTATCAGAGCTTAGTGATTATACCCTGGGGAGTATAGTGATTATAGCAATCCCCAGAGTGTAGTTCTCCAATCCCCCAAACATGAGCTGAAACTTCATGAAGGTACAAGATGATCTGACTCCAATGAGCATTTATTACTCCTTATATACAAGTTTCCAGGCCAGAGGCACACCCCCTGGACCTGGTGGTAAACTGTGACAAAAGGGACACCAACCAATGGGAACACTAATTAACATAATAACACTCTCACATACACAATGAAATCCCTACTCTCCATCCTGGAGATAATTGGCTTAAGGCACTGCAGTAAACTCAATTATCTCCAGGTACAGAAAATATCTACATTTTACACTAACAGCAAAAATATGTAAAAGTACATACAAATACATAATTCTTATTATATCACACAGAACCCCCACATTTAACCTATCCCCAGATAGCTCGGATCTGAGCGCCCAATCTAGGTGAACAGCACAGTAAATTTGCCATGGGGCAAAGCATAGCAAGGGCTGTTGAGAAACCAAGGAGGGACAAAAGCAGTCAGTTCCAACTGGTTTGGCAGCAGTGGCGGATCCAGAGCCTGATCTCGGGAGGGGCACTTGTAGATTATTTAAAGAAATAATCCAGACACAATAACCACTACAGCTCAGTGTAATGGTTATGGTGTCAACAGTGCCGGGACCCCCTCCCAGAGTAAATAGTCAAACCGTTTAAGAACAGTTTGACAACTTACCTGAGGTCTGCTGGGAAATGGGGCTGTAGTAGTGCATAGGAGCAGTAGTGTGTGTGAGTGGTGCAATGTGTAAGGGGTGCAGTGTGTGTGTGAGGGGGACAGTGTGTGAGAGCTGCAGTGTATGTCAGGGATGCAGTGTGGGACAGTATGTGTGTGTAACAGTTGCAGTGTGTGTGTGTGTGTGAGTATTGCAGTGTATGTGTGAGTGTGGGCAATGTGTGTATATGGGGCGGCAGTGTATAGGGGCAGTGTGTGTGTATGGGGGGCAGTATGTGTGTATGGGGGCAGTAT